CTCGAGGAGCCGTGTCGTGTGCATGCCTCACGTCCAGGCAGTCAACGGCAGTCTGGAAGCGACGGCAAGGCTACGCTACATGCGCCCTGGTCAGAGGTCTTGAGGTAGGTCAAAGTTTTCGGTTCACAACATGAATCTGCCTGCAAAGGGCATGCTATATGTTGGTAATGGTGCTTATAGCATATGCTGGAACTTTCATATATAATGCCAAATAATCATAGTCGATAAGAATTACTAGAGAATTTTAATCCTGACTTAACGTGCAACAGCAGAGGGAAAATCAGAGAAAAGACAACCATAGATTATAAATACATGAAAATATTTTAAATCAACAAATTTAATATTTTTAAAATGTTATTTTAAAAAAAAATGCAGCATAATTAATACGGATGGATAGATTCAGATAGTTCAGCTGCATTTTTAAAATTTGAATATATTAATATTAACAAAAGGCAACATAGATAAGATCGTTGGATCTTTAGATAATTTTGCTGCACAGATTTTTATTATTATATAAAATCAATAAATGCAACATTATCAATTATTATCAATGGATATTAAGATATATAACTGCCAAAGATAATATATAGTGTTTATATTGTTTTTGGTTTTGCTGCATAAATATAGGGTGCATTATGTGCATAGTCAAAGTTCTCTTAAAATTCCATCGCATAGAACATCTGTGTGTCGGTGTTGTCAGAGCTTAGATAATTTTCTTAGTTATTTCTTGTTCGAGTGGAACGCTGACTTTATGGCTTCCCAACTGGCGACTGACAGACAGTAACAACTTGAACTTTTGCTGCCCCCTCTCTTTCGCATTTGGCATTCCTCTCTCTCTCTCTCTCTCTCGCGCTGAAATGAGCATCTCAGATTGCATTTGTTATTGCTACGTTGCAATTTGGCGCTGCTGTTGTTGTCATTTGGCAAATGAATGGCTTGTTTTTAGTTGAAAATGTTTTCCAATCAATTTTTATTATTTCTTCGTTGTTGTTATCCCTTCCTTATACCCCTCGATAGCCCCTCGCCGCAGTCTCCAGCTCATTGTCATTGGCCATGCTAACTCATCTGCGCATAATTTAATGTCTTCTCCCTGTCTGTCTGCAGTTGGATTCACGTACTTGTTACTCCTAAAGCTTAAATGTGCATGTCATTGCATTGGCATTGGGTTTGGATTTCAATTTGTAAGTTTACATAAATTTTACCAGTTCCTGATGAGTTAGTTGCCCTTGCAGTCGCTATTGTCATGGTAATGCAATGCAATGCACAACGTTTCCAAGTTGAGGAAATTATTCTTTTCCGCACTGTTTGCCATTTCTTTTTCTTTCAGTTAGTTCTTCGTTCCCAGAAACAAGCGTCGCAGCGCTGTGATTCATAATTAATTTCTCTCGCTCCCTTTTGGTTAGAGTTTGTATAATAAAAGAACTCTTAAGTTTTGGCCTGGCTGCTTGCTCACTGATAGTGAATGTATTCTTCGTTTTATAGCAAACTATTTTAAATATTTAATGCTTGTTTATTTTTTGGCAAACAAAAGATAGTTTAAACCTTAAACAAAAGCTTTTTGCATGGATACCTCTGGCATACGTGTCGTATGCGCAACATTTGGCATTCATAGTTTTGGCCATTGTTGTAAATTTCATTTAATATTGTGTCATATCGCACTCGCCTCAGCCCAAATGTGTTGCACATGCATCTGACATTTTCACACTTAACATGCAAAATTTTCAACACTCAAAGTTTCTTTTGCCCCCTCCGTTGGTCTCTGACCAGACTCAGACCCAGACCCAGACCCGAACATGGAGCAGTCATCCTAGAGCAGCGCCAAGTGCTGGCCCCCCCAACGTGTCAAGAGCAAATATTCAAAATTATTTTTGAAATGTACTCAACGTCTGTCGGTTTGTCGTTTCGTCTGTCCTGTTGCCTTCACCTCCGCCTGCCCCTTCGGCCACTCGTTTTGTGTGTTGTTTGTTTAGTTTTCGTTGCGCTGCAAATGTAATTGGCATTAGAAGTTTTGTACGTTTGCCCACGACGTGTTTTGTAATAATAAAATATGATTAAAGTTTTTGATTAAATTTATGCAAGCGCACAGTGCAAATCGGTCCCAGCACAGCACAGCTCGGTTCTTTTCAGTTTAGTTTTTGCAATGGTCAGTTGTATTTTTGATGCTGTTGCACCTTTTTCGCATGGCACTCTTTCGGCTCTGGAATGGACCTGAGGGCACTGCAGATGTGTTTGTTACTGAGTTGATTAAATTATCCCATTGCAGACGTGTGAAAGTAGAGCTATGTGTTTGTGGCCAGATGTGACTGGTGCTTGAGCGCACTGCAAGGTAATCAGCAACAAATTAAGTGGACAAGCTCTTAGTTAGAGATGCGCATGGACACAAGTCACAAATATATCGACATTATGTTATTTGTATATATAAAGAGTCGAACTTAATGGGGACCAAGCCGAAATTTTTACTGAAGTTTTCCTTTGGCAAATTCGACTTGCAAGTGGCGTCATTAGGCTAATGACGGCTTAGATGTCTGAGCGTAAAACTAACAGACGAGAAGTTGCCGGTTCAACTCAAGCAGTAATTGTAAACTTTTATATTGGTTTAATTAATTTCATATTATTTTCAAAGAAATAACCCCTTAAAACAAAAGCAAAAAAAAGGGCGAATACTATGCATCCTGTGATAAAATTGAAACGAATGACACAAACAAGTACCTCATGAATTTACAACCTCATTCTTTTGAACTGAGCGACGCTTTGTGTTTTCTTTTGCACATTAATATTTGTGTATTTAACATATAAATATAACTTGTATATTTTTGTACAGGATCATAATTCATAAATTAATACCAGCTTACACGCACTGACTAACCAAAAATTCATATTTACAACTCATCGCAAGTCTTTAACATGTCACTGAATTCCACCCAACCCACAATTTAACCATAAAACCTATGAGCCTTGTTCGTGCCCCTGCCCAAGTGGAGCTGGTGGTAAAGCGCAAGTTACTTTTGTTTTTAATATGGCCCCAGTCCAGGGCAAGATTCTGGTTTTGGTGGTGCGTGGAAAGGGTATTTGTGATGGGAGGCTGCCAGAGACTTGTGTATATTACCCGCTACTTATAAGTAATTATTTTTGTAATCCGCTTTCGTTGCCGACTATTGTGCCTGCGCCTGATGATAATGATGATGATGATGATGACTGACTGAACAACTCTTTGCATACACGCCCCACTCAACCACTCAGGAACTACAAAGTGCAATCAACCGACGGCTTGAAACAATGGTATCTGCTCTCGGTCTTTATCGGCGATGCTGTGCGGGATGTGCCGCTATGCAAGCACCTGGCCAAACGGATGCCATGTCCAGGCGCTGGACCACTGCCGCCGCCACAGCCTCGCTAAGGAGTGGTCGCATGTCGGACTAGGCGCCACTCCAACATGGGCGGGCTTTATTTTATTTTTTATTGTAGACGCCGCAGTTCCGGGGGCATCTGCAGCATCTGCATCGCATCGTGTAGTCAGTCAATCGCATGGACATCTTTGTTACGTTCTTTCCAACTCCAACTCCAACTCTGTTTCCATCTATCGTCACTCTTCATCAATTCGTATTGTTAGTTGTTTTTAAGGGCTTTAATTTAAACGACAGACAGCATAGGCTTAGACTTAAATAAGTATGTATGAAGAATAAGCAAATAAATCAACAAAAATCAAATGAAAATTGTATGTGCCTATGCCGTGTCATGCCTGCGCTTTTAAGAGCCCCCCCCCCTTATCCCCCACAGACCCCGTCCAGTTAGTTCGAAGTTTCATTTGCTCGGACAATGCATTTTGCACTCCCCCCCGTCTTGCAAACCCCCCCCCCCCCCTCCCCACACGACTGGTTGCAAACAAAAATTGATACGCCAAAAAGCATGCATACGGAAAAAAACGCATGCAACGGAAAAAAACGCATGCATACTTTGCAGCGGCGCGCACAAATTGTTGACGCAAGGCATTACTCGTTGTGAATACCCTGTAACCGTGCAGAAAGGCTATGTTGAGCTAGTAATACAAAAATTGAAACAGGATCTTTTACTTATTTCAAGCCACAGGATACCCTGTTTAAGTGCTTAAAAAACCAAGAAATAATATTTATAAGTATTTCTTAGAAATAATATCTTTTAAGCCATTGTTGCCAGACGAATTTTCGGTCTCCTAGTAAGACGTATTATGTATTATATATTTGATATGTAAGTGTTCAATAGAAACTTAAGCTGCCGAATAAATAGTTTTCTGTAAGAAACTTACCCTTGGCAACTTCACTTTTTAAAGTTCCTTCATAAATAATGTTTTTATGCTTCCATTTTGGCATTTTTGCATTATTATTTATTAAGTAAAATTATCCTCCTTACTTCTTGTGGATAACCTGTAAACAAGCAGACAGTATATGATGTGCTAATGTGTGTATTGAGTATGTGAGATATTTTAAAAACGAATGTTTAATTCAACTAAAAACATTCTTACTTATATGATATAATGTAGCTTCTTATTTACAGGGTATTTGGCCGTCTGCTTCTTATTGCTGCATATGCCACCCACTGTTGTACAGCTCTCGGTTGTTTCGCTTCAAGTACTACAACTACAGCTTTTGGTAAAATACACAACCCTAACCCTAGCCGCACATTGGTAGCAGAAACCCGCACCAGAGCGCTGGTCGTCGCTTTGCTATTTATTAACTCGTTGCATATGTTTGCAGGCACTGTTGAGCGCCCCAGCCCGAGTGCTGTAAATAAAACGACACGACTGCGACGCAATGTAGACAAGCGCAACAACAAGCGCTGCTTTGAGCTTTGGCGACGTTGACAACCCTGCTGTGTGCTGTGTGTGCCGCCGCACAAAAGTACTATGCTGCACTTTTTTGCACTTTGCATTTTTGTGTGATTTGGCTCTGTGAAACGTCCCATTTGGGAGCAGAACAAAAAAACAGCTGAAATTGTGTGTGTGAGGTTTTTTTTGTTGGTTATCTCCCTGGTGTCCCTCGGTTTATCACATTTAATTTTTCAAACGTATTCCCCGCGATGACGCCGTTTGTCGCTAGATTTATGTGCCATTTCTTTTGCATATTTCATTTGCTTGAAATACTTGTTGATTTGTTGCTGTCTCTGTGACTGAAGCATCTTCTTTTTGTGATTTAAAAAGTATTTAATAAATATTTAAAGGCATTTAAGCGATAACAATTATTTACAGACCTAAAACTAATGGGAACTTGCCTCTCGTCTGACGTATATACACTCTGGAAATTCAACCGCTGCCCAGATACACCTTGCGCCCGTCGGGCCTTATGTAATACTCGGTCACACCTTGTGAATTAGTCACATATATATTTCTATCATCCTCGTGTTTGGGTCTCCTTGTCGAGGTAGTCTGATAAGTGCTGCTATATCGGTTGTTGCTTATATAGTTCGCATTCGGATAGTTGTACTGTGCATTATAGCTGGGTCTGTCATTCGACTCGACGAACCGCACGGTATTTCCCGGCAGGTATTCGCCATAGTTCATAAAACTTTGACTGTGACTTGTCTGATAGTCTGATGATGTCTCCGTCTCCAGGCGATAATAGGAACTCGGTCTATGCTCATCACTGACCACCAAACGTTGCTCTTTCTCTTCGCCCCTATCATTGTACTCATAGCTGGGCGCATAGGTGGGTCGGTTTAGGATCTTACCTCTGCGAATATGACGCTCGTAATGATCGGGAAAAAGGACTCTGGCGCCGCGTTGAGGTGGTGCTGCATCCTCATATACAGCATTTGGTGGTGTATGCTGTTCTCTTTGTTGTTCCTCTCTAAACTGTTGTTCTCTAAACCGTTCCTCCTCTTCCCTGTACTCCTGCACTTGCTCTTCTCTAAGCAGCTTATCAAACTCCTCGAGCTCCTCATTGGTATCCTTAAAAACAATTCGCTTGCCACGCCTCTTCTCCACGCCGTAGTCTTCCTCGCCAAGTCCATTGGGCAGCACAGCTGTCCAACCCTCGGCCAGTTGCAACTTCTTAGCCTGCCGCTCGCCTTCGCTTTGGTCTTGGGGAAATCTCAATTTACGTTGAGCTGCATCTCGATTGAATTCGTAGATAACTTTTCGCTCGCTGTCGCGCAGAGCTTCCGGCGTGGCATCCGGAAATCGCACAACTCCGTTGTCATGATGCTCAGCTCCTTCTTCGTTTTTGAAGTGCAGTATGCGACCCTCGCCCTCAGCCTGGTCTTCGGGAAATTGCAGCACACCTATCAGCTCGGTGTGTGCCTGGGCTGCCTCAGCCTCGTCATCATCTTGAAACTTGACTGGTGTCTGGGTATCCAAGTCATCTTCTTCATCATGAAAATCAACGGGCATCAAGCGGCCATTATCCGCCTGAATGTTGCGTTTAATTTCCGTTGGCAACAGACTCCTTCTCCTTCTGCGACGTCTTTGGTACTCCACGCCGCTTAAATACTCGGACAGCACTCGGGTGAAGAAGCTGCCGATGCCATCGGCAATGTCCGTACTGGGTCTTTGTGTGGGTCGCGGCCTAGGCCGAGGCGTTGTGCGCGTCACCTGGCCCAGCCCCTGCTCCTGCCCGCCGCCCGTCAGCGCTGCGAGTATGCTGAACAATGAGCCTCCGCCAGATTCGCTTTGTTGTGCTACAGCTGGTTGCTCTTCCGGCTCGCTGAAGAACTTAAAAAACCCGCCGCGATGATTGTTCAGATAGTGAATGATTTCCATCTAGACAGTTTGAGTTTTTAATAATCATTAAACACCCTTGATTGGTATGCTCACAGCCATCAGCTCACCTCATTCTTTGGGCACTTTTCATAGGTCTGAAAACAGCTTCGTTCGCCCCCGCTAATTCCAAGCAGTGCTGCGCGTCCATAAATGAGTGCTGGCGAGGCGACTGGGAAGCCAGCCAAGAAGCTGTTGGAAATGAAATTAATGAAAAAGTTTTAAAAACTTTAGAATTAAAGCATTTCCTGCTATTTCTTCCAAGTACCAAGTATCTGTGTCTGGCTAGGTACTTTTGGGCTGAAAGGTTTGCTACACTGGTTTTTGAGAACCCTTTTTCAATTGATATTTCTAGTATATTCTTGTTGAGGGTATTGTTACGCAAAAAGGCAGCCATCCCGTCCCGACAAATACATATTTTATGTCCGTCCCTTCATTTGGCTGTTTCTTACAGAGTGTATTAAAATTCTGCCATTAAATGTGTAACGCATCGAAGATTATGTCTCTGATTCCTATCTATATTATCTATATTCCATAACGTATCTATATTCCTGAATCGAATCAACAGATCTTATTTGTCAATATCGGATCACAAGAATAACGATCGCTCAAAAATGAAGTTTTTGTATGAAAATCTTCTTAGTTTTTCAAAATAACTTGATCACACTCGGAACGTTTCAGTTTCACTGTGCTCCTTAAATATAACACATACCTTATCATCGGACTACTACATCATATAGCTTTGTGGGAAGAATCGGTTTGTAAGGAAAATGTTTTGTTCTTCAAGATATTCTCACCAAGCCTTGCCAATCACGGGCTCAACCTATATGCAACCCCGTAAGTTATAATTCTGCAAGGGTATTCAGTCTTCGTCATTCCGAAAATAGCCACTTTTACTTAGTTAATTTCGGTATTTTGGTGAACAAGTGGTAGTTTTAACTACTCACAAAGTACCTTGCATATATATGTGAATAGACGATTTTCTTAAAACTCCCAGAAAAACCTGATCGAATATTAGTACACAGCTGACGAGTAGCTACGTTCACTTAAATTCAATGGTTATTATATTCCTCATTATCTAACAAATGTTGCCCAGCTGCCTTTTAGGCTGCTTATAAAACTTAATTGAGTAAATGCCAATTTGCAACGAAAAGCCAAACAATATCAATTTACAGACGAGCTGCTTCAGACACACACAGAACCCCCGGCCGCTGGCCATGTCTCAATCAGAGCGTGGCTCATTTCATAGAACAATCAATATGGTCGGGCCAGATCGACTTGCATAATGAATGAGGTCTAATCCCAGTTAACGCTTGCTTGAAATTAAACGAGCACAGAACGGGGGGAGCTGCCATCGGATGGGAATGTAAATTTAATAATATTTACTTGCAAGTTAAGCCCTTGCCACATTATTTCGGATGGCAATTGCGGCAGCTCTTGCTGCTACTCACTTGGTTATGGCCGGCGATGTAATGAAGCCTGGCAGTTGGCCACGTAACGTTTGACCGGCAATCATCTGGCAGAGCACCTTGGGCACACACTGCAAATCGTCGTTGCGTGCGATGTTCTCCAGGGCTCTAATGAGTTGTGTGTTGGGCGGTCGGGCGTGCTGCCCCGTGCCTTGTGTGCCGGCGAAAGCGCCTAAGAGACTGCCTAATGGGCTGCTGCTGGAGGAAGAGGAGGATGCTGCACCACCGCCACCGCCACCGCCACCGCCCAAAAGCAGATTTGTAAACTGTGGCGCATATTGTTGCGTCGAGCTCAGCAGCGACGCTAGAGTGGCCAGGCCACCAGCTCCAGCTCCAGCCCCTGCTGCTGCCGCTGGTTGCTGGTAAGGCGGTCGATAGCCAGGCGGCGGACCAGGACGATAACTGAACTGCGGCTGGGGTGGTATCTCGCCAATTTGATACTCATAGTAATTGGGTCCCGGTCGCTGCTGCTGCTGAGACAGTGGTCGCTGAGGCAGCGGCTCGTACTGATAGTGCGTGGGGTTGTATTCCGACTGCGATTGCGAGTGGGAGTTGGCAGGGTAACTGGGTGGTCGCTGCAAATAATTACCAAAGTTGTTTGCATAATTAGACGACTGCGTGTATTGCGGCTGCGGCACATTTATCGATGAGCCGCCTGCCAATGCTGGTCGGTTGTCATTGACGTCTTGGCGGTTGTAAGGCGGCCGATGGTGCTCTCGGAGTCGCTGTGGCTGTGGCTGTGGCTGAGGCTGTGGCTGTGGCTGCTGCTTGGATTGCTGTGGCACAAAATTGGATGTCTGCTGTGTGGCATAGCTGGGCGGCGGGTAATCATGCGAATCGTATGAAATTTTATTCGCTGTGGATGCTGTGGGTGCTGTCACTGGTCGGCGATAGGTCGTCGTGGGGCTCTCATCGAAGACATAGCCGGGTCGCTTCAGATACACCTCGTCCGCAGCAACGGGGCGTGAATGTTGCGGCGAGTGGTTGCCTACGAGCAGCGACGATTGCACCGTGTAGGCCTGATCCCCCTGCTCCTCGGGCTGTTCGCGTTGATACTGAATGTAAATGGGCGTAGCCTGTGTGGCTGTGGGCGTGGGCGTAGGCGTATAGCGATAGTTTTGCTGTGTAAAGGGATCCAAATAGCTGACCACCGGTGTGGTGGGTATTTGGGTGCTGGCATAGCTATGGAAGGAGGTCTGCTGTTGTGGTCGGGTCTCGTCTGGAAAGGAGAACTGCTTGTCCATCGCCGTCTGCTGCGGATTGAGGCTGGCCAAGGAGCTGGGCACTTGATGCTTATAGTTGGGCTCCAGATAACTGGGCGGATAACGCTGTACGCCACCGTGCATCACATCCGAGGGCGTAAATTCCAGCATCTGTGAGGGTCGAAAACCGCCATTCGTTACCCGTGCGGACGTCTGGGAGGACTGTGCAGCAATGGCGTTCACTTCAATCAGCGGCTCCGAGGGAAAAAAGTTTTTCAGCTTTGCGGAAATGTGTTTCTGCCTGTCAGGAAGTGGGCGGGATTTGGTTTAGTTGACAGTTTGGGTGGGGGGAAACAGTAAAATTTGCATAAATTAAGGTAGACGTGAACTCACTCGTCATTTCCGTCGCCATTTCTTATGCACGACACGTTGCCGACTAATGCGATAATTAGAAATGCAATTTTCCATAGCATAGTACTTTGCGGCTGTTGTCGAAACTGCATGCTGCTGCCGAGCTGTGTGTGCGTGTGTGTGTGTGTGAGAGTAGGTGTGAGGAGAGTGGCCTTTTGTGTTTCTCGCAATTGGAAATCCCCAGCTAACGTCAGCAATTCATAAGCGTAAGCCACTTTTCGCACGTCGCCTGCAACAATAACATAAAAACTTGCTGTCAGGTCTCTTGACTACAAACTGGAAAAGATTGCGAATTTCTCTAGAGTCCTCGCGGCAAATTTCTCGCTACATTTGCACATAAATTTATAGATTTACCCCATCGAAGGAGTGGGAATGCAGCACATTTGCATTCATATTAATGCAATTCTCACGTGCTCGTTGAGATCTCGACGACGACGACGACGACGACGACAACTTGACATTTGTTTAATTCTATTTTTTATGATTGTGCCGTGTTTATGCAGCCGCACGCCGCAACTCGACTCGACTTGCCACCGTAATCATCAGCTTTATTTCGACGATGACTACGCCGTATAATCATATCCATAATCTTTAGCTCTTTTGGGTGCTCGTCTCTGTGTCTGTGTCTGACTCTGACTCTGGCTCCGACTCTGGCTTTGCTCTAGTGCACTGCGCCTTGAGCCCAATGCTAAATTATTCATATTATTGTGACGTTTTATTTGTCGCCATTTGTTGCCACAGAGCGTTGACAGGCCTTAAAAGTTTAATACACACAGTCTGACACGTTCACTGCTCTGGATTTTTATTTGCTAAGCTTTGGGTAGTTAAAATGATGCAGTCTACACTTGTTCTCGTAAAAAATGCTCAATATTATTATGCTGCAAGTGCATATAACAGACAGACAGATTAAGAAATATCTATGTGTTCCCATTGGCCACTATTACGCTTCTTCCATAACTATAGTTTGATCAAATTAAGCACTTGGAAGTTGTTATTTAAATCGATCGGTCAAAAAGGGAAACACGAAGTTATTTCAAATTTTATAGGATCAGTTAGAAGCTACTTAATTAATGACCAGCATTTTGAATAGTTGCCACCTACAAGGCATTTCAAATTTATTCCTGTCAAGCTTCGCTTTTTCATTTATGCTGAACGTTCAATTCAAAAGATAAACATACCTTTTACTGAACGAAAGCACATTTATATTACAAATAATTAGCAAATTTTTGACAAAATAAAAATAAAAAAATCAACTCCACGGAGTTAAGATCTCACATTAAACATACACTAGTCTAAAACAATCGAGTCCGAAATGTTCCTCTTTAATGTATTCTCATTTGATTAATAAAATGTCACTATATTTGATCTTCATTTATAAAAGAGTGAAAGTCATTTTTAAATGGCCATCTCTTGCAGAATATAATCGCATTATTAATCAATATAAATTATATTGTTGGCCTTCTTCTGAGCTACCTATCAGCTTAACTTTAGCACTCGTTTCATTCATTAATTTTACAACAATCATTGTTTATTTTACACTTTTTTTCTGCCGCATATGCCATAAATTTCACCATAAAGATTGCCTTTGTTTTGTTTAGGGCGTCACTTGGCGTCGATCGATTTGCATTTAAATGAAGTCAAGGTTGTTGTGTGTTGCTCAAGTTGAATTTAAAGTACATCTTCTCAATAAGATGACGCACAAAAAGTTTAAAAAAAAAAATACGTTAAAGCTTTAAAGTGTTTGCTGGAGCAGATGGAAACAGCTGGAAAACCAGCAAAATTTATTATTTATGCTTGTCGTAATATAAAAACGACTATGCCATATGTGTTGGTCGCATATAAAATTTAAATTTCATGCAATTACACACATACACACACACACACAGACCAAATGACTGACAGACTGACTCACTTGCCACAGCAGCTTGCCGCATGCAGCATGCAGCTGTAACTGTAATTGCCCAAAATTTTATGGTCCAAGCAACGGCGGAGACGCCGCAACGAGCAAGTACTAGAAAATTGCATTTGCTGCCAACAGGCAACAGAGGGCGCTGCACTAAAACGAAGACTAGCTGCAGCAACAGACTGCGACGGAATTTACAACAAGAAATGGCAGCTAATTTCATCTGGATGTGGAGGTGGAGTTGGAGGTGCCATCCCCTTGTTGCAGCAGCAGGTGCCAGGATCACAAAATGTTTCGATTGTGTGTCGAGGCACGCACAAGTGCGGAACAACATGGCACCGAAATGCTATAAGGTTTCTCACCTTCCCCCCCGTCCCCCTTCCAATAAGCGGCAACTACACGAAAGGACACTTTACGCTTGAGATGAGCTCCAATTTTGGGCTAAAGACGAACACGGATATGGACACGGAAACCAAAAAGCAGCGTACGTGTTGTGCATTCTTTAGTGCTGTTGGCCCCCAAAGCAGCTGGGCGTGGCCAGCGAGGGCGGAGCTGGTAAATCCAGTCACACTGACGGCCCCTTGTCTTTTATGTGTGACGCGTGCTGAGGTTCGATTTGGGGTTCAACTGCAGAATGAGTCATTTATTTGTTTTGTTTATTATTTTTTTTGTTAGCTTTCGGCTAATTTTTACGCAATGTTTTATTCACTTGCACAACTCAACGACTCAGACAACTTTCATTTCTTGGCTGGTTGAACTTAAAAATAGTCGGGCCGCTTCTATTGTCACAATTGCTACGCTTTGTTTAACTCTCAATTGCGGCACATACACACAGATACAATTGTTTAGCCGGCTCCGATTTTGCACACTTTCGGCTTTTAATTCCACTTACTGACTGCACTTCTCGGTAACTCTCGTCCGCGTTGTGTGGCAACAGAAAAATAGAAACCACCAACGAAATCGAAACGAAATTTATATTTTTGTTTTCTTAACGACGCATGCGCCAGCGACGTCTTTCCGGCTGTGAGTGCGGCGTTCGTTTGACACGCGACGCCGGCGCTGAGCATGCGCCAAGCCCGGCCCAGCCAAGTTGCTGCCTGGTTCCCAACTGGTTGCTGAGAGGGGGGCAGAGCAAGCGGGAGAAAGATGCTCAGGCGGAGAGTGAAAACGTTGCCGAAACGATCAGCAGCTGTTAGTTAGAGAGCTGCCATGGCAGAGATTGAGAAAGATGGCGAGAGCCAGAGAAAGAGAGAGATGGGGATGAATGAAGCTCGTGGGTCAAGAGCTTAAATTACAATACTATAAGCATACTCCGCAAAAATAAAATGAACTAAATCAGTAGTTTTCCGCACAAAGTCACATTTTCTTATTTTTAGAAAAGTTTACTTCCCAAACAATTCACAATATGCTCATATTTTGTAGTACCTTAAGTTAATGAAAATCGCATAGAAAGGTGATTTGCGCAGACAAGTGTATATTTGAAAACCATATAAGTTGGAGTCTCTATTCTTTGGAAACATAAATTTAAATATACGGTCCCTATCGTGTATATTTTATAGAGTCGGACGAATATTTGCACGATTTTTGTTTGCCATTTTCAATGGATGCCAGTGTGAAAAGGTCATATATTTGAAGCATTGCAATTAAATCGAATGATTTGTTTGGAATCGCATATGCATAAATGGGCTGACAATTATAAACTTGTTTCCCACATAGAGTTTCGTTGGGAGAGCTGATAGTTCATAGTTCATTCAACCTATTGTGCAGAGGTAACTACTTTAATTAAATCAGACAGTTGCATTACATGTTGATCAACCATTTGTTACACTTTTCTGTAAGCTTCATAAATAGCCAGGCGAATTATTGTACAATACTCGCAGCGAATCTGGGTGCCGCCGAGACAGCCAGTTGGCCCGCTAAATGGCTTAATCATAATGAGCCAAGAGCTGCAGGCAGAAACCAGCAAGCAGAGGTAAGCAAATTATTAGTCGTCCGGAGAGTGAAAGTTGAAACCGGGTGGAAACCGAAAGAGCTGCCAGCTAGCTACAAGACTCCACAGACCGAGGAAGACAACAAGACGATGGCATTTAGCTGCAGCCAAGTTAAGCGACATTGAGTAATTTTCTGGTCTAGTCAGAGACCCCAGACCACAGCGGGTCCCCCCACGCTGCTTTCTTTTCCCTTGGTCTGAAAGCAACGTAATAATAATTTACACGTTTTTTTTTTCTCCTTTACTGACTGAGGCTGGGTGAGGTAACCAGCCAGCAGTTGGCTCTTGGCCCGTTTTGGCGGTCATATTGAAAGCGAAACCGAAATCTCAAGATTGTGGGTTGTGCCAGAAACGTCTTTCGCGAGCTAAAACGAGCTAAATTGTTGCCAATTTCGGATCTATGCCAATGCCTGTCATTCAACCAGCTTCGGTTATTTTTCGACTTGTTTACGCCTTATTCAACGTTTGTTTTGGTATTGTTTTGTTTCGGTTTTGGGGAAATTACGCAAAGTCAAAGTCGCGACTTCATATTAATCAATTATAGGTCATAAATAACGTATCCGCTTTTGAATGGTTGAATAAACTTTTTATAAAAAGGTCACCAAGTGGGTGTAGCTATCAAATTGATTAACTATTTCAATTTATTGCGATGGAATACTGGCGCAATTTAATCTATTTCTACCTTTTCTTCTACCTTTAAGCTTAAAACAGCAACATGCGCCTCAAGGAGTATCCAGAAATAATTGTGGATGTGATACCGAAGCTGTATGAGAGCCACATCAAGGTTTTCATTACACATCTATATCGCATGGAGGAGCAGGTGGACCGACTGCCTAAGAAGTTCTGCAAAATGTACACGACCCAGCCGCTGGCCAGTCAACTGCTGCACTATCTACGCTCTCGTGGAGCTAACATATCGGAGCAGGACTTCCATATACTTAGGGAAGCGCAACCCTTCATACTGCGCCTCAGCGATGGCAAGCGTCTGGAGCTGATGCTCTGTGCCGGCAATGACCTGGGCAACAGCCTGATGCTGCTCATCCGCAAGGTGCATGGCGGCAGATTGCTCTTGTACTATTCAGCTGTGCAGCAGGACGATCTCTGTCTGCTGATGGGCAATGTAACCTACCAGGAATGGATTGCACAGGGCACTGAGGTGCTCTTTTTAAATCTCCAGGCAGTCGATCAGCCGTTCAACCATGTGGATTTCGAAGAGATCGCCAGGGGCATCTACATTTATGGAGAGTCTATGAAAAGCCCGACTGTGCTCAAGGTGCCCCTGCTGGGCTATGAGTATCTGATCAGAAGACTAGCCCAAACCCTGACACTCTACGGTCATATCAAGCTGTCGAACACCTATTTGGATAACTACATCTGCTTGACATCAGATCTACGCCGATTTGAGGTGGCCGGCTACGTAACTAGTGCTAAAGTTGTAGCTTCCAACAGCGCTGATTGCGATGCACAGGAAAAGCCATATCCTTTGGAGAAACTTCAGTGGTCGCCAGTGCCAAATCGCATTAATCTCATTCAGCTTTGCAGTCTACTCCGTCCGCGGCATATAAATGGAATAGTTGCCTTTCATGCTATAGGAAATGTGCCGCCAGTGCCGCAATTTCTTAAGCGCTTTCAATTGAAGTACTCGCCCAAATCCAAAGGCGGGCTGGCTGAAGAGCAGGTTGATGTGCCTGAAACTCAGCTTATGCACTTGCCAAGTCAGGAGAACATTCCGCAGACCCAAACCCAGCAGGAAGAGCCAACATTACGGAAAAAACCCATTGTAATTATAAAACAAAGACAGCTCCACTTTGTCGATTATGATGATGATGATGATGATAATGGAATAGAATAGGAGTTTCAAATGATTTGAATTTGATACCCAAACTGGGTCAATATAGAAATATATAATACTAATATTGATCCAATATAATAAACATTTATAAAAAAATCTCATATACATAACTAGAAGATAATCAGAGCTGAATTAATAAATATAATTTTTTCTTAAACAATGATAAATGAACAAAAGAACTGTGCACTTACCCAAAAATTCATATGCTCATTTGCATCTTTTCATTAGAGGGGGACCAACTTTTATTTCCACATCACTGAAAGAAAAGAAAAAAGTAGAGAGTTAGAAAAATAAAGAGAGAGAGCAAGATTGCGAGAGAGAGGGAGAAAGAGTTAAATAAATTGAGAGTATGTTTACCAGTAAACAAATAAAGTTGATTTCTGGCACACTTTTTGATGAAAAACTTTATTTGTCTTCAAAGTATGAAGACCTGCAAGTCCTACTTGAATTCATGAGAAGCGAAACACACACACACACACACATATAGAAATATACATAAACATGTACATACATGCACACACATACATACAAATAAACATACGTACATCATAACACATACTTACATAGAAAATATACAAACATTCTACAGACACACATACATGTACACATGAACTTACATACAATAATTTAAACATCACAAATAAGTTGAATAGACTGCCCATACACTTGCAATTGTAACACATCACTTTCTATCAAAGCATGAAGAATTACAAGTCCTACTTGAATTCATGAGAATCGCATAGGAGAGCAACATAAAAAAATCTTTTTTTTAATTGTAGCGCAGCTGAACGTACGCTAAGTGTATTTTTGGTTAAATACAAGTAACATGCAACAATATATATAAATACATACATACATATAAACAAATGTATATACATATACATAAGTGAAGAAAATAGCTAGTACCCGGCGTTGACCGACCCTAGTTCCTACCTTTATTTTGACCACCATTTGCAATCATTAGAGTGGATTTCCGATATCGGTGAATCACGTCTTAAATAATATTTTATATTGATGATGATCACGATGATCAACAGTCAGTCAGTCAGGATAAACAGATGAATACATATATGTAGACTGAACCGAATTTCTGTCTGGAGCTCGCTTGTGAAATTTAAACTTTGATTTTTCTCTGTAAAGTCATACACCCCCCATCTCATACCGATAGCTGCCACATTACATTTGAATATGGATATGGATATGAATATGAAAATGAATACTGAGCATGAACCAGTTAATGCTGGATCCAACTGACGCATATAATATTAATATCAGGCTCGGTCTGGTCCGGTCCGCTTCATGTTTGCGTAAAAAAGGTTGTTAAAATTATTATGAAATGCCTGTTGGCATGCAGAAAGCATATCCGATGCCCGTTGCCCGTTGCCAGATGCCCCAATCCCATTCCACTCGGTTGTCCTACCCCAATCGGGTGGACAAATGACCACTTATCAACGTGTAATGAAATATGGCACATGTGTTCGCCATATATGAAAGACATCCCTTTTGACATCAGTCGCAGTAGTTGGCGTCTTTGTCCTCTTGTGGAAGCCTTTTGTCGTGCTCTGGCATGTTATATGAATTATGTTGATGGCCACGATGATGATACAGGAGCTAACAGCTAACGATTGCAGTATCTGTATGTGTGCGTGTGTGTGCGTCCTGTGTCTCATTTATTACATTTTGGCTTTTTGACAGATTGCTAAGCGTAGTAACCGTTTCCGCACTAATTTCCGTGTCCTGCAACTATTCTGACATCGCTGCCGTTAGCCTTCTCCTCATTCCCCCCATCCTCAACGCAGTCATCGCTGTCTGGAGCATTAAAAGCCAAAAGCAAATTACTCATCATATCAACGGTCAGTTGCGCTGCTTTTTATGTATGCCATGCACAGGGATTTTAATAAATCGTTTTGTCCGAGTTTCCTCTCCTTGCACTGCCGCCAGTCCTTGCCATGGCTCCTTTGCGCTGTTTTTATTAGTTTGTCAATAAAGTGCCAAAAGACGTTGATTATGATCGCTGCTGCCCTCATCCACTCGGCCAATGCCTTATGAGTTTTGCTTATGACCTGCAGGCTGAGACCATTTTAGGCTTCAGCAGACACACAAGCGAAAATATATCCTTTACTTATCCTTTGCTATCATTTTTGCAATCATCCGTTTTTGTAGAGACCGACGGCTGTTTAAGTCGCAAATACTCAACATATTCGCAGCAAGGAGCTTCTAAGGAGGCGAAATACTTGTGGCAAAGTATGTTGCATGCCCGTTCGGGGCATGAGTTGCAAGTTTCTTAAATATACTCGCTGGGAGAGAGAGAGAGAGAGAAACTGTTGCCCTCTGTGTGCACTTTGTAATGAATTTTTAATGCATTTCTGCTACAAGAGCATTTTGCAAGCATATACAAAGTCTCTGCTTTGAGGGCGATTTGGGGATTTTTAACAGCGTGTAACGAAATTAATTTTTTGCTACTTTATGCTGAAAGCCAATTAGATGGCATTACCTACACTTGAACTACAAGCCAAGCACATGCGACCATAATTATGTTTAATTTATAATTAAATTAATTTTAAGTGGCTTTCAAGTTGCACAAAGCAACTTTTAATTGAAACATAATTCTGATTACTTATTTTGGCAGAGGGTGTGAATAGTTAAGAATATTTATTAAATTCACAATTCAAATAGAAACGTATAGGATAAAGAAAAAGCCTCTAATATTTCTTCAGCCAAAGTATTCAATATACAATATGCCTGTTAACTAAGACATTGCTGGGCCATTCAATAGCTCTGAGTATTTCATTTAATTTTCACTTAAGTTAAAATTTAACTGTTCATAAGCCTTAAATTTCACAGTACTTTCTGGCTTCAAAAACCGCGGGTAGTTAATTAACTTAAATTTGCGGAAAACGACAGCGCGCACATGTTGCCTGTTTCTATAATTTTAATAATTAGAATTGGATGGCGGAAGGGTCGATTGTGTTGTTGTTGCCTTTGTGGTAAAGTTTGGCACTTGGTATGGGCGGATAATAAAATTGCCAATGTATGACAATGCCGGCCCCCAGCCGATTCCCCAGTTCGCCTGCTGCTGCCGGCAGGTGTTGGACCAAAAAGTAATTATCATAAACTAGGCGCACACTGGTTGGGGGCGGCCTATTGATTAGTGTAGCTTTAAATTTAATTGAAAACTAGTAAGTATTCATCGTGGGCCATTTGACGGACAGTTCGCATGACCCGAACCACCGGACAAAGAGCTGCAAATGCGACACGCGCTGACGCTCAAATGTCAAATTAGACTCTGCAGTTGGTAAGCGATAACCAGTCGGCTGTGAAGGCATACGCTCAGATTTAGAAAACGCAATTCAAATTAAATATGCCAGCAATTTGCTGGGCTCGGTTTGATTGACAGCTGCATGCCGTAGGCGGAAGCGGATGTGTCAAATCAGGGCGCAGGTTGCCAAAATAATAATAGCAGGCCAGGCCAGGCCAGGCCAGGCCAGGCCAGGCCAAACAAAAACGGGCCAGCCGAGCAGCGCCGTGCCGCCAACATTATCATCGCCTGCTTAAGCCGTTAATAACATATCATTTTTGTAACACGCTGCCCCGCATCCGTGCACCGTATCCTGTTACTGAGTCGCGTGCGGCACTGCAGCAATTATGAGCATTTAATCCGCGACCACAAAAACTACAAATTGGCTTAGGTAGCATAATTCGCTGGTTAAGTGGCCAGCAATCGCACCACCATTCAAAACTCTGAAGCGAGGGTTGAAAAGCGACATTCGAAATGTGAATTATGAATGAAAACCATATTTAATATCTTTGAATATACATTTAAGGTTTTCCAAGATTCGACTGCCGGGACTGGATTTCATTTTCTGCTGATTTTTATGCATAGCGGACAAACGACCCCCAAACGACATTTTTGAAAACAGAAAACTATTAATTTATCTAAAACGAACAACTATTTAGGACATCGCCTAGCGTATCCTGGGGACTTCAAATACGATCAACCCTTGCTATTTGCAATTGTGTATTTCTGGCCTGTTCTTTTTTTTAATGTAATTATCTATTAATTAAATTTCTAATAGCATCACCTTCAAGTTTGAGGTATTGTTTCTGTTCACAGATAATTTTATCAGCTAAGCTATTAAAATCTATAGCTAAGTAAATAGCTTAATTGAAAAAGAGCTATATTAATTAAGAGAGTATTATAAATTATAAAACAGTTTTTAAGAGTGAAAAATTTGAAATGATATATAGAATATTAAATAGATAGGATAAGGAGAAAGATATGCTAAATCACTGTCCCAGTGGGGGAAATTGTTAGCATGCCTGGTAAGCTATGCTCCAACTCATAACTGGGCGTGGTTAGTGAGTTGCCGAAGGTATCCTGAAAGCAAAGATTTTATACTTTTTTTTTATAATTCGGCTAAAAATGGTCCGATTTTGGAAAGTTATACATTTTTGAACTTGTACTGATCTCTGGAATCGATCTGCATATCACGTTTTTTGAAATGTTTTTTGAAAAAAACAGGCAGACGAACAAAAATCAAAAATTTCATTGCATACCCAAACGGAGCGGTGGGAACCAGTGGGCATACTTTTAGGACGCCATTATCTGACCCGCTAGGTATGCTATTATATTGTATATTCATATATTGGAGGGCGAAACTAAAAAAAAACGTGTGGAAATCTGTAATACGCCATCTATTGTTGGCGGCCTATTACAGTGCAGCCGCCTATGTATTCTTCTCTAAGCGCCTAAAATAAAATCCAGACTTTTTAAACAGCATTTATTTGATTAGGTTTCTATTTTGTGCTCTCTCTCCACAACAATAGGTGTTGGGGAATCGAACGAATAACGTTTTAAAACAATCGAAGCTCCGGGAGTCTGTTCTACACGCAACTGATCCACAGTGGGCGGATTTTCAATTTCGTTCATCAATACGTCATTCTGCTCGGCAGTTACGGTGGACACATTCGAGTGGTTCGAGTCCTCGCCAGCCACGGCCTTCAAGCAACCAGTCCGTAATTTATTGAATGTTTCAACGTAAGGGCGACAGCATGCGCATACTACATGATTGCGTAAACTATAGGCGTATGAACGCCTAGTTTTATACTCAGCCTTAAATGGAAAGTGTCGCCTTGGCCTTGGTAATGTAATATTTTTGGCAGTCTTGCCATTGTGGGACTTGCAACTGGGATTAACTAACGCGCGACTCGTCCTTTGTGGTGGGCGACCAGCAATGAAGCGCCTGCGTTTCTGTGCTCAGGACGTATGTTACTTTTACGGAACAGAACAAACTTAAGTCTGGGCTCAAGTGGAACTTACAGTGCATCTAATCCTTGCCGGAAAAGGGGGGCGCTCAGCGGGATACTGATAGAAGCTGTATTCGGCGCTAGGACTTCGGGATAATATTCCAAGACGTGTCAAGCTGCTCAACGACTTCAGCACGTGGCTTTTCACCACATCCAACTTCTTTGTGCGACGCATTTGCAACAACACCTGCTTAACGATATCGTCCGCATTGATAAAGATGGATTCACCTCTTTGCAAGAATGCAATCGCTCTCAGCACATGCCGAGTGTATGCTTTAGGTGCGTCAGTCGTCGAACTATCCATGCTTCACAATAATTTCGATTAAAACAAAAAAAAAAAACGAATCTTGAAAACTTTTGATATTTTTGTGTTTTCGGTTAGTTTGGCTCGGTATGTGGCGAGCAAGTGAAGTGGATATAAACAATAAGTCACAAAAAGGTCTAAAATCGGCAGCATAGACTGAAAGTACATGGCTTATTGAGATTTTGATTGTGAACAATTATTTTAGGCATAATAAGTACAGTAATAAATAACATACAAAATCGTTGAATACAAATATGAATTTAAAATAAATTGACTTCATTTTAAATGTTATCATTTTTATGTAAGCGCTAATTAATGGTTTTTAAAATTTTTATTTCTTTTTCATATATATATTTTTTTGTGCATTTGTTTTTATAATTCTTCTTACATGTATTTATGCGTTTTGTTTTGTTTTGTTTTTCATTTACATATATACTTTTGTCTTATGAACATATTCATGAGATCATAGTGATATTATATATATATATATATATATATATATATATCTTTATATATATTAAATTATTACAGCATAAGATAAAATGTACAAGTTATATGTCGTGTTCGCTTGAGCTTTACACAAAGAAAAAATACATATTGAAATATGCATATTTGTTTACGAATACATATTGAAAATAATGGGGACTTAAGTCTAAACGTAATTGAAGTTATGTAAGTTTGAATATGTGTTCATCGCAGCTTTCAATAAGAAAAGTTGGCAGCACATATTTAACACACATTTTCACTGTTTTGGCACCAACAATCTATACAAAATGGCATTTGATTTTTGCGCTATATACAAATTACGAATTACTTAATTTAATGTCGGAAGTTCGCATGGAATAAAATAAACAAATTTTCGCTATGTGATTCATTTTATTTTTGTTTCTTGCTTTTCTGCCTTGTTTCAGTTTATGGCAACCAAAAATCTTGATGACTTTTGGGCGCGCGGCCACAAAACTTTACCGAGATCATTGTGAAAACTAATTAGAATGAATCATCGCAGAAGCTGGGCACTAGCAACAAAACCAAAATTTTGCTGGCCAATGACAACTTTGCGTTGAGTTCATTTTAGAAAAATTTACAAAAATTTTCATAGATTTTTTGTGTTTTTTGTTTTTGTTTTTGTTTTTTTTTTTTGGGTGTGTGGAATAGTTGTTTACAAATTATGGGTATGTGTATAAAAAAAAAAAAAATACATAAGAAAAAAATCATAATAAACAAATTTTGTCTACTTTTGCTGCTCGCTGCTGTTATATTAACTAGTGTATGTATCTCTCTGTATCTCGTCTGTAAAATGAATAACTCTTAAGCTACCAAAAAATTTTGCTCTACTTACAGGCATTTAACATATGATAAACAATACATTTACTTAGATGCGACGTGATTTTTTGAATTGCTTTGATTTGTCAAATGACAACAAGCGGAAAACTTTACATAAAAGAAACTTAAGGCTATGAATATGTAAACTAAAACGCTTGGCGATCCTAAACCTAAACTTTTACATAATTATGCCTAATTTACATATTTCTCATCGCGTTTAATGCAAGTAAAAAATTGCTGATGTAAATGATAAAAAAAATCCATGAGATCAATGCGATTTTTGGGAATAGTTTTTTTTTTTTTTTTCATTTTTCTTTTCGTTTTATATGTTCATTTTCTTAATTATTTTTTGCTCTTTAAATTCCTTACTATTTTTTCACTGTTCGATTAGCATTGAAACGTCAAGAAATTTGGCAAAATGTTTTGAAACTAACCAACAAAACTATTAAAAAAAAAACAAACAAAAATTTGATTTGCTGCGTGTTGACTTTTTGACTTTGGCTAGCTATGGAGATCAATTGAGTTGCGCCCTCTATAAATTTCCAGTTAAGAGATCATTCAACGCTTGGCTTTGAGTGTTAAGCAAAGGTAAACCTGAAAACGTGTCGTGAAGCTTTGGAAAATTTCAATGGACATTTTGCGCAAACTTCTTGAACAATGTTGCTTAAAAACTAAATTGTGAGACCAATTTGAAGAATGAACAAAATAATCCTCATGAAAATATGCTGCTTACTGACTACCAAATTTAACTAAAAACATGTGCGCACAATTATAATAAACCATAGACAAAATCATCACAAAAATGGCATATAAACTATATACAAAAATGTTCTTTTTTTTTTTCTTTCTTTTGTGTGGGATTTTTTCTGTGATTTTCATTTATAACAATTAAAGCTAAATACTTTTTATGTTCAAATAATATTTTGTTTAAGATTTGAACTAATTTAAAGCAACATTTAATTAAGTTGTGTAATTGCTACAAATATTTATGAAATATATTTTCTTGTAATTGAAATTACAATGTGAAGACGTTGAAAATTTGTTGTTTGACAATCAAAAATATAATACAATTAAAATATATTGAAAATATTTTGGAAGCAAGATTTTTGTTTTTGTTCTGTTTTTTTTTATCTTTTTAAGTTTACAGTTTTGTTTTGTTTTTTAGATTTTACGAAATGCAAAGCTAAATGCAAAATAGCAAGAAATAATCAAACTCAGACATTGAATTGCTGGAAGACCGGCCTACAAAAGTATCTCAAAAGATGGCAGTTTACAGTTTTACTTGAATTTTACATATAGATTTAGTATATATAGTTTATGACATTTTCTTATAGAGTTTACAAAAATATGCTCGAGTTTATTTTTTGTTTTTGTTTTTTTTTTATCGAAAAAGCGTTACCAAAAAATATGTATTAAATATTTTTACTCGTATATTTATGTTAGCAAAAATATTTATCGTTCATTTGTGGTTTTTAGTCTTTAGCCAGTCTACAGATTACAATTGAGCAGTTTGAATTGTTGTTGCATGTTTTGTTGTCTTAAAGGATAGTTTATCATTTGAGAGAGAAATATGAATATATGAGTACGAATACAAATACATATACATTTATATTGTTCTTGTGTCCCGTCAACCTCCTTAACTTTATACACATTCAAGATTCGTTTTCCTCTAGATCAGCAAGATCTTCACTGTTTTTGTATATATATATGTATATATGTATACGGGAATAAAATACGTAAGCTGATTTCACTATGGATTAAGTATATATGGTTATTTATGGTTTTTATTGTTGTTCTTGCTGTTGTTGTTGTTGTTGTTGTTGCTGTTTGGCACTCATCGCGCTGCAAAAAAGCCACAGCCCATGGCAAGCACAAAAACGGTGACAACTGTTGGCCAAGTGAAGCTTTGCTGTTTCTAAAAGAATTCCAAAATAAATACATATATATATTTAGTATTTGTTTGTAACTAATTTCAAGATTTACTAAGCATCGGAGAATCAAATACTCATCATGTGGCTAACCCAATTGTTAAAGTAGCAAAGTCCCGAGGGTCGCATAAATATGGAACTCCACATAACAAAGTCACGTGCCCTCTGCTAGTTTGACCGCAGTTGCAACCCCTCCTCCCCGCACAGCACAGCACGCACACACACACACACATACTCTCACACACACCACACACCGATACGTATATCATGGACCGGAAGTTATGTGGGTGACCCAAATGTGGTTAATGGCTGGTCAATATAGTCAGCGTAATTATGTTTCCTAAAGCGCTCAGACTATCATTTAACAATTTCGTTTATCGCATTCAATGGACACATATAAAATAATAATTTATGCCATTTATTTGTAGAGCATTCACGGTTGAATGGCCATTGTGTGTTGCACGTGGTGCCCCGAGTCGATACTCGATAGCCAAATCGGCTCGAGCAGCGCGCAATATTTATTATGCAAATTATTATTATTATATTTTGGGCATATTTTAATAGAGTTTCGGCATTTGTTAAATCAATTGAAAGCACTTTGGCACATGTGTTTGAATTTCGACATAGATTTGTGCCATACATATGTAACAAGCACTTGACTACTTTAATCGATGCAATGGGGAACTGGGCGCCTACGTCAGATTGCAAATATTCTCACGATCTCATTAAAGCGCACTCCTCCGATAAGGCAAATCGCGAAAACTTGCCCAGCTTCCCAAGAGTGCTGGCTTCGGGCCTCCAGAGTGTCGAAGAGCCTCGATAAGGGGCAATATGCAAGCAATGCAAACAAATGACACGCAACAACAAGAAAAAAGACAGAATAATAAATTATAAATAAAATGGTATCAAGTGGGAGCTGCTGCTATGAGTGTGTGCCTCAAGTCTGTGTCATGCGATTGAAGGTTGCAGTTTTTTTTTTAATTGCGCAGGCAAAAAACAACAAAAAGAAATTGAAATAAAAGTGCGCCCAGTTTTGTCACAATGCAATCTAAAGTACTTATAGACATGCATAGTATACGCATATATATAAACTATATATTATGTACAGGCTGTAATGCACACACACACACACACACATGTGGCAGCTGACAAAGGCTGACTCTTTGACTGACTAAACTAGTAGTGGCAGCTCCAGGAGGGCGAGGGCACGGCAACGGGAACGGGAACGACACTTGCCTCGATTAACATAAAGCAGCGGTGCCGAAGCCACAGAGGGTGGGAGCAGGCGTTGGGCTGGCTCCAGAGCAGCAGCAGCAGCAGCAGCAGCAGCAGTAGAAAGCAGAAGCAGCGCTGCGCAATTAATTTTTATCACACTTTTAGCATGTGCAAAGTTTGCCTTATACAACATTTGAAATATGCACGACTCTTGTGGCTGCAACTCCATTCCCAGCCCCAGCCCCAGCTACAACTCCGACTCCGACTCCGCCTCCCTGTGGCAATTTGTCATTGCCTGCGACTATTTTTAGGCGCATGTTTTTGCTAGTTGGGCTTTGAAAAATGCTAGCACGTGTGCCATCTGGACTTGCCAGCTGCTGCGGCAAGTTAATGAACTCGTATTTGTCTCTAATTTGTGTGATCGGAATCTAAAATCCATAACGGAATTCCGTTGCTTACCTTCTCCTTGCCCGTTCGCTCGCGCTGTGGGATGTAGCCGTTTTCGTTGGCATTGTCGCCGCCGCCGCAGAGATGCGTATTGTTGGTGTTGCCCGGATTGTTGGTCTTCTTCTTGCGCGGCGGTATGCGTCCGCTGAACTCCTGCAGCCGTTCGCGTCCGGCCGTAAAATTGTCATAGCGATCGTCAAACTCATCCCAGCTGGTCTCATGATCGCTCTGATACTCGCGCTCATCCTCGCCCGTCGAGGTCAGCCGCTTGCTATAAAGTAGAGAGTGAAAAAATGATTATCATTAGAGTAGAGAGAGAGAGAGAGAGAGAGAGAGCGACAGAGAGAGGGAGAGGGCGAGAACATGATTATCACAAATTGTGTGTGCTCTTATCAGTGCATGCATAATTAAGTAAGCGCAAAGAAAAAAAATTGTGATTAATTTGCAAGGTTTTTTTTTTTCATTTTCATTAATTTAATTTTGCGTTGTTTGTGGGAATCTTTTTTTATAAAACTTCCTATAGACTTCAAGTGAACTACACTCAAAAAGCTAAACTTAAATTTTAAAATTCGACATTAAATAAAAGTTTACCTAAACTTCAAAAAACTTTCTTGTTAACAATATTATATATACTTTGAAATATTGCCCAGCGTAGAGGGTATTAAAAAGTCGGAGCCACTATAAGCTGTAATGTTTTTTATATGCATGTAAATGACGGCCTCCAATGAAATTTATATATGTTCCACTTTGCATTGCTTATCAGCGAGCAGCGAAACATGAATGAAATTTGAAATGTTGTTTGGGTTGGCTTGGTTTGGGGGATGGTTGGGTTGGGTTGGGTTGGGTCGGGTCCAAGTACTTACCGTCTGGCTGCATCCGATTGGCTGCGCTGCAGACGCATCTTGGGACCAGTTGGCGCCAATGGTGTCGATGCCATGGCCGGGCCATGACCGTGCCGGCCAAAAGACGCATGCGATGCAGCCGCCGAGGTCGAGGTGGAGGCATTCGCAGTGTTCGGCGTGGGTGGCGGCGTATAGGTGGCATAGTAGGCGCCAACCGGCAGCGGGTGCACGTAGGAGGCCGGATGATGTTGCAGCAAGTGTGATGCCTGCGGGTAGCTGTGGCTGTAGTGCATCGGTGGCGCCGACTGCGGCGCCGGCGGTTGCGGTGGCATTGGCTGCGGCGTTGTCGGCGCCGGATATGGCTGCCGGAAGAAGTTCAGCTCCTCCCCGGCGGCAAAGCTGATGCTAGTGCGAGGCGTGCGCGGCGGCACATGAATGCCATGGGCAAAGAATACATCCCCGCCCGTATAGCTGGGCGACTGGGCACTCGAGCACGAGGGGCTGGGCGGTGGCGGATACTGAAAGATTTGCGGCGCTGCAGGCGAGAGAAAGAGAAAGAAAATGCATATAAATAAAATGGCCATTAAGATCGTCAGCAACAATTACAATAATACTATTAATACTATGTAAACAAAGGTGTCGGCGCTGTCATTGGCCCTTGGGCTGCGGCTGCGGCTGCGACTGTGGCTGCGACAATGCAAGGAAGTGTCTAAGGTCGTCGGCCATTGTGCAACTGCCACTGGAACTGCAACTGCAGCTGCGACTGAGACTGACTGGGCACTTAGCGGCGCTGTCTGCCCATAAAAGCGATTTTAATTACGGCAAGTCCTCGCTATATGCCAATCATAAAACCTATCATAAAATCATCAAGTGGCCCACCTTGCCAGCGGCTTCTTTTGTGCTGCGCTTTAAAAGTATCTTAAAAGTTAAAAGTATCTGCCTGACGTAGCTATAGTATAAATCTGATCTTCTCCTTCGGAGTCAATCGGAGCTGAAATGTGTCTTCAAAGTTGCCAAGTGGCAAGTGCAGCAGCTGCAACATCATTTATGTATGCTAAATAAGTAGCTGTATCTAACTTGCCGTACAATGTCATTTCATATTGATGCAATATATATATTTGTTGTTTTCTTTTTCTTTTTCTGCCATCTCATGCAAATTGAGAACAGAAAAGCGTTGATAGCTAAGCTGATCACTTGATATGCGCATAAATTTAATGTTATTGTTGTTGCCTGGCAGTTTGTCTTGTGTTGGGGGGAACATTTTCATATGATTTCTTAATGTTTATTTACTTAAAAAGCAATTTAATAGCGACATATGATTGATTGTAATGCAAAATTTATACAAATCACCCGACAACGCCGACTGACCGAAACGATAATGTCTCAAGCAGCTAATTGCCCCTAGGGCTAACTTATTTGCGAGTGGTGCTCGGTGGTGCTCGGTGGTGCTGTGTGGTGCTTATGGCCAGCATTTGTAACTGGCAAGTTTGGCATGTCAGTCAGTCAATTGGCTTGGCGGGCAGACAGTTTGAAATAGCTTAAGATACATAGATACAGATACGGCCAGAGGCAAGCTCAAATAATGTCATTCAACGTCAACCTGCAGGCCACTAATTTGCAATTGACCCATTAGCCTTGAACTCGAATAGCGTGCAGCGTAGCGCAGCGGGTCGCAGTGAAGCGAATCGAGTGGCTCACAGCTGTTGCAGTTGCAGTTGCAGTTGCAAAGCAAAACAAAATCTGCGCTTAATTGCAGGCAACTGCACAGCGCCACTCCTTGTGCTCATGCGCGCATTTGTATCTTACAGATACTTTATGCCATTTGAAACTAGTTTGAGTTAGCAGGCAGGCAGGCAGTCAGGCAGTCAGGCAGTCAACCAGCTGCCTGAAGCTCCACTGCGGCTCACGTGCGCTGAACGCTCGCGCGCACCAACGTCGCATTTAACCTTGAAAATCTGCCAGTCCAGCTCAGCTGTAGCCCAAGTCAGGCATCATTACGACTCGTATTTGTATCTTGTAGTTAGCTAGCTGCTGGCCAGCTTATATAACTAGCCAGCTCTATGTGTAGAAGTCTGGCTGGCTGGGCCATGCTGGTGCCTTTATGATGAGGCGCATTGAAAATGTTACTACTAATTGCAAATTGTGTGGAAAATTATTTGCCAAGTGTTAAAATTGCATTTGCATATGAGTATGTGGGCACAACTGTGTGTGTGTGTGTGTGTGTGTGCGATTAGGTGTGGTGCAGGTTGATGAGCTTGGGCTGTGATATCGCTTGACTGTGACTGACTGTGACTGAGCTGCATATAAGACAATTATTACGGTATTTATATTTATAGTTGAAAACCCTTCGATAGTGCGACTATTCGATAATTGCCGATAGTTCGATAGTCGATAATGACATGCATATTTATATATATTATTTATTCAATTTCTTATCTCAATCTATTAAACTGCTCAATCTATTCAAAAAGCTGTGTTTAATCTAACAAGTAATTTTTACGATAAATAACTCAATTAAGAACCATTGAAATTAATCGATAATATGTATGAGTTTTTGTTACTTTTTAAATTTCTTATTTAATTCACCTTTAGCTACTCATATTTTCTTTAAAATATTTATATTTTTTATATTTTTAAAAGCTGCATTAAAAGCAAATAATATTTTTAAGTTCAAGTTGTTCCACAACGAATTATCGATAGTTATCGATAATATATACAATTACGTTAGCCTTCGATAATTTGGAAATTATCATCTATTAATTATTTTATTTTTTATCAATATTAAAATATGAAATAATTAATAATTATTGCTTTGCTCACGATAGTAGGCAGTTTGATAAAGAACCATTTATCGTAATCGATACTTTGCACAATAACGATAGTCTTCGATGCTTTGACAGCACAGTCAGTACACAATATCTTCATGTATCGTATTTATTTAAATCTACAATGTTACTGTTAGGCTGAACAATTACGACTCGGGATCACAGTTGGAAAATCAATTTCTGTGGTTTTGTTTCTGTCCCACCTCTATCTAGCGTTTAGGAGGTTTATGGCACCTTAGCAATTTTTATGATCGCATCTCGGTGCGGGCGCTGCTGCAATTGTTGCAGTTGCAGTAAGTAGTTATTGTTGCTGTTAATGCTGTTAGCTGGTGACGAAACGTGACCAATTGTTAGCTAGTTTTCTGCATTTGTTTGGACGAATGCAAGTATTTTTATGGCCCGGCAAATGGCCGACAATATGGCAAATGTTTAATTGAATTGCGATTATTGCGAGGGACTTGCGGGTGTGTACGGGCCGCATTTGTCGCATCTGTGAGCTGTCTTAGAACAACAATTATGTGTGTAATTTACTTTAATTTTTCATACTCGCCGTTGCGGCAATGTCGCAACAATTGTTGAGGCCGCGGCGGCGGCAGCAGCAGCAGCAGCTGACAAACATCAATCAGGCAAAACACAGCAATAACAAAGCCCAAGTCAAGCTATAAGTTAAACTAAGCAGAACGTTAGAAGCTCAAAGAACAATTTACACGCGGCCCGAGGAAAAACCGAGCAGGCTGGCGGAAAAACGTGAAAAATGCTGAGCGCTCTGTGTGTGCGAGTGTGTGTATGTGTGTGTGTGTGTTACGCTTTGCTTGCCACAAAAGAACAAAACGTTTGACGACGTACCGAATGCATTTTGTATACCCTAACAATGGATATTATTATTTCACTTCCCATGTAATAAATTTTATCATAAATAGATCTCGTGTATCATAATTGTTACAGCTAATTCTTGTGTGAAAAAGAATCTGCATTCAATAAAATATACACAAAATGAATTATGTTAAAGATCAGTCTAAGCACAATTTACCAACAATTTGTAGATAGGGTATTTAAACGTCGGCTAAGCGAACTCCAGCTGTTCTTGCTATTTAGTTGTGCAGTTTTGCAGTTGATTACATGTCAGCCCAGAGTCGAGACCGTCAGAGCCGCAGCAGCATATGCCTCTCATGATGGCCTTGAAGTGTTTGAAAAATAGCAACAACAACAGCAGCAACAACAAGTACAAAAACAACAACTGCAACAACATTAACAACTAAATGCGAGTATGAATATCAGGCAACAACTGCGTCGTACCGCAGAAATCGAAATTGAAACGAGTTTCAATGGATCTGGCATCAGTTGGCTAAGTTGGTCACTGGGCCTGAAAGCCCGATCGCTGATCAGATGCTAAATGTGTGCCAGTTCAAACTCAAAATATGCAGGTTTATAAACTAGGTTTAAGTACGTGCGAAATCTTAATTCTACTTGAAATTCAAAATATTGCATTTTTAATTTGGGTTAAGGCTAAGATACATGCGAAATCTCAATTCTTCTTTATGAGATCAGAAGGAACTCCTAAATCTTAATTCATTTCATGATAAACAAAATAAGATACTTAATTATTTAGGTTAAGGCAAAGATACTTCTGAAGTATTAATTAATCTTCTTGGGTTAAGGTAAAGATACAATACGCAATTAAAGAATCTTCTTAAGTTAGGTTGAGATACAGATACATTTCAATCTTAATTCTTTTTCTCAAAATGCCAAGAATCAAGCATCATAATTTAGGATAAGGCAAACATACTTCTGAAATCTAAAGGAGTGATACATGCGAAATGCTAATTCTTCTTCTCGAACTATATAAAATGTTGTATTACATTATTGGGGCTTAGATAAAGATATAAGTGTGATGTGAATTCTTCCTTTTGTAAGCCAAAATATGAATTTGTATAATTCAGGTTAGGCTAAAGATACATGCGAAATGTGAGTTCTTTTTCTAAATACCATTTACAGAAAAAACGAAACTTTGTTAACTGTCACTGGAGCACTGACATTTATTAATGATGTCACGAGACGGCAACAACAACAACAACAACAACAACAACTGCAACTTCAAGACTGACAGCACAAAGGAATGACTGTGGTATCCAAAAGGAGCAGCCGCTGCTTAATTTTACCCAAAAAACCAAAAAAAAAAAGCCAAGAAATTTCAAAAATTGGCATTACAAAATGTTATATAGCATGTTGCCTCGACTCACCGCCATGCCACACGCTGCATTGTTGTGTCACACCTGACGCCCACACACACACACACACACACATGAAACAGCACGCAACCAAATCGAGTCGAATTGAATTCGGTCTTTTAAGGCGATTCGCTGGCTGTCACGATGCGACGAGCTACAAATTTGTTGGCTCGTCGATCGTCAGGCTGTTGGCTTTAATTAGGCGAGGCTGCAGCTGGGGTTGCCGTTTTGTTTTATTTATTTTTTTCGATTCAGGGCCAAAGTGTTAACGGTACAATTTGTAATGCTCCAACCCAAATTCGAATTCCCCAATGCGGTCAAGTGACTAATTGCCATTTTTTTTTTGTGTGCTTGAGATTCAGGAAGTCGCAAGCGAGAACTTAAAAAGAAATCGCAGTCGACAAAATTGTTGTCCAAGTTGTCAACAAGATTCTTGTCTATATATAACAAATGCTCAAAACCATTTTGGTCTTATAAAAAAA